CTAAAAAGCTTAAAAATTCTCAATGAAAAGTCAAAATTTAAACAAAAATACCGCACTATATAATCACACTAGATAGGAAATTCTCACCAGCTATCATTGGTTTAGATTGGTGACATTATCATAGTCTATGCTGTGAAGTGATTTCAGTCGAGAAAGAATCATCCAACAGTATAGCATAAGAGGAATGTGACCCATGATGTTAGGTGCAGTTCAACTGAACATAATGACTTTCTCCCATCACCAGTGACCCTTTTCTCATGAAGACAGAGATCCAGTTTTTAATCACTGTTCAGCAACTCTGGTGGAAGTATCAATTTGCACACATCGGGCCAAACTATCTTGCCCCTTTGGTTATTTAAATTTCTGAAAAGGTTAACGTTGGAATAATGCCTAAATGGGTAGTGCCTGAGGACACCTGATGCCTTGGGAACATGTAGGATAATTGGGAAGTAAAACAAAAATAAATCACAAACATGATTATCATTCTAAAACCAAACTATATACTTTGTCTATTTTACACACAAAAGTATATACATTTATATTTTAAATTTATGGGTGTTAGGATGCAAATAAAACTACTTTAATCATAACTTTGCCTTTGAATTTCATGAGTCTCATCTCTTTAATTACGCTACAGTGTCATGCTATTCTCAAGATACTGGAGAACCAATGTCAGACAATTTTAGCTAAGCTTCAATTTAGTTGACAAGCTTGAGAGACATAAATTCCACCAACAGCCTATCTGCATCCTGGAAAAAAAAAAATGACATTTGTACAGTTTATACCAGTTACAACACTTAAAATTATTACACTTAAAGAAATAGGAAATGGAAAGGATAGAACAATTGATGGATCACTATATAATGGTCCAAGTACCAATGCACTATTCACTTGAGCTTTTAGATTTAAGTTAAGAACAAATGTCTCAAATTTCCTAATTTTGAAAAAAGGTGGTGACCGTCCTTTCAAGTTGATGTATGTGAATAATGAACAAATAGCCATCAGGATGGAAAGAATACGGAGGAAATATTTTGGAATAATTTATAATATGAGTAGTGTAGATATCTGCAACCTTGGCTTTCTCTTAAAATTATAAATTAAAAGTAACACTTCATGGATGTGCTTCCAAAATGTTATAAAGTATGATATTTGGCTTACCTTTCAATAAACAACATTATTTTGCCGCCAGGAAATGTCATAAAGAAAGGAACTGTAGTATGGCTGACGGCAGGGAGTACAGCCAGTAATTAAGTTATAATGACAAAAATGCTTGTGTCATCAAGTGAATTGCAATTTATTTTGTTATAATTCTAATGCAATAAAGTTCTGATTCACTTCAAAAGACTTACCTCATTAGTGTTGCATTTCCTGTAAAGGGCCCAAATCTGATGTCTTCATAGGGTTGGTGGAAACCCAAGATATGCAATGCTTCCTCCTGAGTAATAGGTGGAAGACTGTGGAAAATGTTACACTATAACTTTATGTTATCACAAACAGCAACAGCTTGCCCAAAAGATCACAATTGCCTATCTTTTTAGAACATGATGTTTTTTAATCTATGCAAAGTAGACTTAATTTCTATTTCTTTAAAGTGGAAATTAAGTATATTGTTGGATATTGGCTTCTGCTATTCTCGTAAGGTGATCATTAGTAGGAATCCTGTTAACCTAAACCTTTGAAAATGTACACTTATCTGGTTAATCTTTACCTTCAACTATAAAATCATAATTTGACATATTGAAATATATTAAAATGTATTTAAAAATGTCACTTGTACTTTTTCTTCAGCCATTCTCCTGTATCGTAGGACATTGGCTGTTTTACCATAATTTCCTTGCTTCCTCAGCTGTAACTATTCATACAGCTATTTTTTATTTCTCCAATTTCTCTCGCTTTTGCTTCCTTTTCTTACACTGTGTAAACTCATCCCATCTTCTACTTGATTCTAGGCTATTTTTTTCTTCCGGCCCCTTTTCCTGCATTGCTCCTCCCTTTAAGCTGATGACATTCAGCTATATTGCATCATTGCTTCTTTTGGCTACTCTTAATGTCTCTTTCGTCACAATGTATGTTCAACATCCAAAATCAAACGTAAATTTCCCCTAATTGTGGAACAACTGGAAGCTGTTGCCTTTAGATTCCACAACAAATTTTATTCCCTAGCCACTGTTCACACTCCTGGCTTTCAGGCTGAGTCAGACTGTTCGCAGCTTTGGTGCTGCACTTGACAAAGATGTGCTTCAAACCACATTTCTGCTCAATCACCAAGACTACGAAGACAGCTCCATAACATCACCCACTCCATCCCACTTTGGATCAGCTGCTGCTGCAGGAAAGATGCATCCATATCTGTGTTACCCCTAGCGTTGACCATTCTAATGCTCTCCTGGTCGGCCTCTCCATTTCTATTCTGTGTGAACGTGCACATTCAAAACGTTGTTGCCTGAACCTTAACTCTCAACAAGTCTTGTGATCCAGTGCAGCATGTTTGTTCACCTAGACTGGCTCCCAGCCCAAGAATGACTCAATTTTAAAATCCTCATTCTTGTTTTGAATCCTCCTTGGCCTCCCCCATCTCTCACTTCATCCAATTAGACAAACAAATAAGATCTCAGCGTTCCTCCATTCTGGCCGCTACCTCTGAAGTTCATCCTTAAGTAGGCTGCCCTCCGTTTTAGATGTTCTTTGAAACCTACATTTGATTAAGCATCTGTCATGATAGTTTCTTGTTTAACTCCATGTCATATTTGACATGGCCATCGCTAAACAGCTCAAGACATTCTTCTGTATAAACACACAATATAAATAGGTTTGTCAATTTTCATCTCTACCATTCATCATGTTCTGATCAAATGCTATTATTCCTAAATATTAACAATACCTTCCCTCCACAGGTACCATCTGATCTAATGAGCGTCCCCAGTATTTCATTTATGAAATCAGATTTTCAACATCTGTAGTATTTATTTTTCAGAAATTTTACAGTTCAGCAAATAGCAGCTCTGAACTAAGGTCTAATTATTACAGGATACAGCTCCCCCTTGTACCAATCACTTAGTGCAAGTTTCACTGTCCTATATCTACCAGATAAAATTAGAATATAAAAACCTTTAATGTTCATTTTACCACAAAAAATTATTATTCTATTATAAGAAGTGCTGTGTATCAAAATTTTCTGATGGAAAGTGCCAGTCACTGAATGCTATACATAAAGCAAGCAGAACAGTCCTTTCGAAATCAATATCGTTGATACCAATACTTAGCATTTAAAAAAAAACACAAGCCGTACCTTCCTGTTCCACATGTACTAAATAAATAATTCCAGCATGAAACTAAAGAGGAAATTCCACATGAAGTCTTGTACTGTGGACGACTGATGCAATACCTGAAAGAGGAAACAGGAGAATTATGGATTAATGATAGTGTGGAGCTGGGGGAACACAGCAAGCCAGGCAGCGTCAGAGGAGTAGAAAAGTTAACGTTTCAGGTCGGGAACCTTTTTCAGAAATGGGGGAGGGGGAAGGGAGCTCAGAAATAAATATTGAGGAGGGGTGGGGCTGGGGAAGGTAGGTGGTTTGGTTATAGATGAGTGCAGGTGAGGTGGGAGGGGCAGATAGGTGGGAGTGAAGATGGACGGGTAGTGTCAGGTCCAGGAGGCGGGGATGAGAGGGACGGTTGGTCATGGGATGAGGCAGGAGGTCCCATGACCAATCCTCCCTCTTATCCCCGCCTTCTTGACCTGACGCAACCTGTCCATCTTCACTCCCACCTCTCCGCCCCCTCACCTGCACTCATCTATAACCATCCCACCTACCCTCCCCAGCCCCCCCCCTCCTCTATATTTATTTCTGAGCTCCCTTCGCCCTCCCCCATTTCTGAAGAAGGGTCCCGACCCGAAACGTCAACTTTCCTGCTCCTCTGATGCTGCCTGGCCTGCTGTGTTCCTCCAGCTCCACACTGTGTTATCTCAGACTCCAGTAACTGCAATTCTTACTTTCTCCAATTATGGATTAATCAATCCTTTTCCATTTCTATTAACACTATCCTGAAGGTTTTAATTTTAAAAAATGTAATTAGGGAAATGATATTAATGTTTTATTCAAATACACATTCAAGGATGAGGTATAAATAGGGTTCTTTATAGATATACATATATGAATAAAACAGAAGTTTCACATCTAGGCACCATTAACAATCAATAGTTTGTGATGAAGTCATGTGGGTTATAAGGTGAGCAACAAAAGTCAAAATAGTTTCCAGTACACTCATATTTCATAATTTATTGTTTATACAGCATACCAATAAACTGTACCCACTAACCCTCAGTTTTTCTGGCTCTAATCTTTTTCCTTTGTCTACTATTGACAGCACACCTTCAGAGACCACAGGATTCCTGAGACAAATGTCCTTCCCATACCCCTCTACCATGCTCTTTTCCTTAAATACCACTTTTTTTTGATCATGCCAGATTCAGAAGTCTAAAAGTAACAGGGTACTTAGGGTAGGCGATTTCAACTTGCCTCATCAGAATGTGAAAGGTTTTATGGGAGCTGAATTCTTAAAATGCATCCAGGAAAGCTTTTAAGCCAGAATCTACAAGGCCCTGCAAGACAGGGGGCGGTCCTGGACTTAATTTTAGCTATTGAAGACAGTTGTTTTAATTATCAATGGGTGGCAGACAGCAACGATAACCCTATTAGATGCAATATTGTTATGGAAAAGGACTAGAATGGGTCTGGAATCGGGCTAAGGCCAATTTTAATACAACCAGGTACGATTTGTCCTGACTGTTTGGGGGCCTATAATACATTCCCAGCAACGCGATTGCTCCTTTTGTTTTTGAAAAGTTCTACCCATAGGCTTCATTTCAGCTATTACAGCTGTAATTGATTCCCTGATCAATATTGCAACAACCCCTCCTCTTTCACCTCCTTCTGTGTCTCACCTGAAGACCCTATATCCTGGAATGTTTGAGCTACTAATCTTGCCCTTCTCTCAATCATGTTTCAGAGATAGCAATTACATCTTACCATGTTTTAATTTTGTGCTCTCAACTCAGCTGACTTGTTCACTAGACTCCTTGCATTAAAACAGACACCATCCAACCATGCCAAACTCCCTTGTGCCTTTACTGGCTTATAATTTCTATGCCTTTTGCTTCCTTGGTTGAGTGTTCTAATTTTGGCTGTTCATTTTCTCATGCCAAACCTTCTCTCTGGATCCCAAACCCCTGCCAAGCTAATAAGATTAACACCAGCTGGGCATGCAGTAGAAAATAGAAAAATGCAATTACTTTTCCTGTATTTGTGACAAAAATAATATCATAAAATAAATAGAACAGGAATAACCATAGAACACACTAATCTATCATCACAAACAGATCGGAAAAAACTGCTGTTACTCTAATAATTTATGATGAAAATAAGAAAACATAGTTCCTATAACTGATGTAATTGGGTTATACTGACCTATAACAATTTTAAGAAGGTACAACTGAATATATCATTAAACCTCTATGACTATATACATGTATTAAAAAAAGAAACATCTTGGTCATTTTAAGTCTTTAATTATACAACTTTCATTTATACATTACTTCAAATTTGTCAAGTGGCCCAAGACAAGTAGGATTTTGGATAAATATAACTGATATATATATGACACATATAGACAAGTTTTATTCAAACACGCAGTGCCCAGTTACAATTCAAATTATGATTACCAAAGGTTCAATAAAACAAATTACTGGCTAAAATGAATAAAATACTGACCATCTCCTAAGATCTAAAACTTTGCGCTGTTTCATTTCTTCCAGAACTGTATATAGAGAGGAATCATTGTATTTTTTGTTGTGTTTTTCCAATGGTTTCATCTTTTTTGCAGCTTGTTTCTTTAAGCTACCTGCAAAGGTAAAATGTTAATCTTTCATGGTTGTAACAAAGCTACTGAATTCAAACATATAAAGTTTAAACCAAACAAGTCTTTAAAGATTAATGGAACAGGGATTGCAATAGAATCAAGATTAAATGAGGCTATATGGGTAGAACCTGAAAACAAAAAGGGGGTAATCACATTGTTGCTGGTATAGAGGTGTCCAAACAGCTGGGGAGAGATAACTGCACAGATATGTTGGCAGATTTCTGAAGTGTAAAAATATTAGGGGACTGCAACTTCCCCAACATTTACTGGGATAGACAAAGTGTGAAGGGGGGTGCGGTGGAGATCTGTAGGAAAATCTGCAGAACACTGGGAGTTATTCAAAAACGAAACAACAAGAATGCAGGACCAACATGTTCCCATAATGATGTACCATGGATCTCAGGGGATGTACAGGATTAGATCACTGAAAGGAAAAATATATCAAAGGGTCAAAATAGTGGATGCTCTAGAAAGTGCACAGCATTACTTGAAAAAATAAATGAAGAAATTGAAAATGGGGCATGAAAAAGAAGTGTCATGTAAAATAAAAGAAAATCCAAAAGTATTTTGTAAGTTTAGTATATTTGGAGCAAAAGGATAACCAGGGAAAGAGTAGGCCTATGAGGGCTCAAAGTGGCAGTGTGTGTGGAGGTGGAAGATGTAGCTGAGGTTTTAAATGAGTACTTTGCATCTGTTGTCACCATAGAGAAGGACAAGTAGGTATAAAAATCAGGTACGGGACTGTGATATACTTGAACAAATTAACATTGAAAAGGAAGAGGTATTAGCAGCCTTGGAAGTGGATAATCCCAGGACCCAAATGAGATGCATCTCAGGCTCATTTGGGCTTTGACACTAATTTTCAAATCCCCTTTGGCTACAGGAGGTACCAGAAAACTGAAAGACAGCCAAATGTTAATGATAAACCAAGAAACTACAGGCCAGAGAGTCTAACGTCAGTGGTGGAGAAACTACTGAAAAAACATCTCCGGGACGGAATTAATTTCCACTTGGAGGGGCGAAGATTAATCAATGATAACATGGCTTTGTCTGGGGGCAATCATATCTGAGTTTTGCCAGATGGTGAGCAATGTATGGATGAGGGTAATGTAGTGGCAGGTAGTGTGGTGCATGTAATCAACATAGACTTCACTGAGGCTTTTGACAGGGTATCATACAAGATCCAGGGCAATTCAACAAATTGGAATCAAAACAGGCTTAGCGGCAGGAAGCAGAGAGTGATAGTCAAAGCAGGTTTTAATGTCAAAGCCTACGTCCAGTAGGCAAACCACACAGGATTCGATGCTAGGGTTCCAGTCTGCACTAGTTCTAGTTCTACATTAATGATCTAGAAACGAAGGTAGAACATATGAGCAGTTAATTTATGAAAATTGGTAGTTTTGGTAAATGGGGAGGAGGAAAGCCTGAGACTACAGGATGATATAAATGGATTGGTCAAATAGGGAGAACAGTGACAAATGGAATTCAATCATGAAAAATATGAGATTTGAGATAATGCATTTTGGGAGGACTAACAAGGCAAGGGAATAAATGAGGAATGGTAGGACAGCAGGAAGTACAGAGGTTGAGAGGGATCTTGGTCTGTATGTCCACAGATCCCCGAATACAGGACAGGAAGAATGGTAACAGGAATAATCCTGGAAATTACAGGCCTGCGAGTCTCACATTGGTGGTAGGGAAACTATTGGAAAAGATTCTCAGGGACAAGGTCTATATGCATTTAGAAGCAAATGGACTTATTAGCAATAGACAGCATGGTTTTCTGCAGCAGAGGTTGTGCCTCACTAACTTGATCAAGTTTTTTGAGGAGGTGACAAAGATGATTGATGAGTGAAAAGCAGTTGATGTCGTCTACATGGACTTCAGTAAAGCCTTTGACAAGGTCCCTCATGGCCGACTGGTACAAAAGGTGAAGTCACATGGTATCGGGGTGAGCTGGCAAGATGGATACAGAACTGGCTTCATCATAGGAGACAGAGGGTAAATGGTGGAAGGATGCTTTTCGGAATGGAGGGTTGTGACTAGTGGTGTTCCACAGGGATCAGTGCTGGGACCTCTGTTTGTGGTCTACATAAATGATTTAGAGGAAAACATAGCTGGTCTAATTAGTAAGTTTGCATACGATAAAGAGTGGTGGTGTTGCAGATAGTGAGGAGGATTATCAGAGGATACAGCAGGATATAGACCAGGAGGCGGCACGGGCAGAAAAATGGCAGATAGAGTTTAATCTGGACAAACGTGAAGTGATGTATTTTGGAAGATCAAGTACAGGTGGAAATTATACAGTGAATGGCAGAACCCTTAGGAGTATTGAAATGCAGAGGGATCTGGATGTGCAGGTCCACAGATCACTGAAGACAGCAGCACAGATAGATAAGGCAGTAAAAAAGGCTTATGGCATGCTTGCCTTCATTGGAAGGGGCACTGAGTATAAGGATAGACAAGTTATGCTGCAGCTTTACGGAATTTTAGTTAGGCCACACTTGGAATATTGTGTACAGTTCAGGTCACCACTCTACCAGAAGAACGTGGATGCTTTGGAGAAGGGACAGAAAAGGTTTACCAGGATGTTGCCTGGTATGGAGAAAGGTTGGATAGATTGGATTTGTTTTCACTGGAACACAGGAGGTTGACAGACAACCTGATAAAAGTTAAGAAGATTGTGAATGGCATGGATAGAATGGAAAGTATGAGGCTTTTTCTCCCAAGGTAGAGGGGTCAATTAATAGGGGACATAGGTTCAAGGTGCGGGGGAGAATGTTATGTTTAAGAGAGATGTGTGCGAGGCAAGTTTTTCCACGCAAAGGGTGGTGAGTGCCTGGAATGCGCTACCAGAGGTGGTGGTGGTGGAAGCAGATACAATAGCAGCATTTAAGAAGCAACTGGATGAATACATGAATAGGAGGGATCCTGCAAGCGAAGACAGTTTTAGTATGATGGGGCAAAAGGTGTCAGCATAGGCCTGGAGGGCTGAAGGACCTGATCCTGTGCTGTACTGTTCTTTGTTCTGGGAAGATAGGTTGTTAAGGCGGCATATGGGATACTTTCCTTTAGTCGAGGCATTGACTAGAAGAACAAGGAGGTTATGACGGAGCTGTATATAATATTCTTAGGCCACAGCTGCACTAGTATGTGCAGTTTTCGTCGCCACACTTTAGAAAGTGATTGCACTAGAGTCAGCAGAGGAAATTCACCGGCGCTTTGCCTGGATTGCAGCATTTCAACTACGCAGAGACTTTATAGGCTGGAGTTGCTTTCCTTGGAGCGGAGAAGGCCGAGGGGGAAGACCTGATTGAGGTGTACGAAATTATGAGTGGCATAGATACAGTAGATAGAAGAAGCTTTATCCCCTTAGTAGAGGGATGAATAACTAGGGGCAGGTGGTTTACAGGGGTTCTAAAGAAAACAGTTTTCACCCAGAGAGTGGCAGATATCTGGAGATCACCGCTGGAAAAGGCAGTAGAGAGGAGAACCCCGAAACATTTTAGTACTAGGTAGATGGACACTGGATATGCCTTAGCATACAAGGCTACAGGACAGTGCTGGAAAATGGACTTAACAGTAAATTGGCGCTTAATGACCAGCACAGACACATCGGGCTCTGTCTATGCTGTGAAACTATTAGTCAATGACTCTTAAAAAGCGCGTAGGAAAAAAAAGAGCAACCAATCAGATACTAAACTTTAAGCATATAATCTTATCTCAAAGCGGTCATTTTGAGCAATTAAGCATACGAAAATATGAACTAAACAGCAGAAATAGATCATTCAGTCCCTTATTCCTGCTCCACCACTGAATAAGATACTGGCTGATCTGTTGGTGTTTCAAATTCCACATTCCCCAAAAACATTTGACTCCCATGCCAAACAAGAATCTATCTAGTACCCTGTATAAGTATTCAATGATCCCTCCAGAGAAGTTCCATAGTTTTACAAACCTCAGAGGGGGGAAACAAAATCCACTGAACTCAGTTTTAAAATTGAGTTCGCCCTTTCAGGTCAGTGTCAACTAGATCTGGATTCATTCGCAAGAAAAAAAAAATCCTCTTCACATCCATGTTGTCAAGACCATTCAGGATATTATAGACTTAAATCAATCACCCTGCACTCTTCTAAACTGCAGTGGAAATTACCCCAACCTGTCGAGCTATAAGACACTCCAGAGATCAATCTAGTGAAGCACCTCTGAACTGCCACCATCTCATTTACATCATTCTGTAAATGAAGAAATACATATACGATTAAATACATGGGTCATGGGATAAGGTTGGGATATTAGTGTTAGGAATTTATAGAGCTTGTGCGTCTTTACTCCGGAGTAACTGCCCTTCTTCAATGCTAAGACCACAACTGAATGCTGACACACTAATATTTTTCAATTTGCATTTCAATTCCCTTAGTTGGAATTATTTGCATGATACAGGAATCTCCCATTTGTACTGCACATCCTCACAAGGCCTTCCTTTGCAAGCCAATGTAGGAGACAGATGGTGTTTGTTCACTTTTCATTCGAGTCAATCACTCTCTACCCCTCTCCACTATATATCCCTACAATCCCCTCCCCCACAAAAAAAATGCCAAAGTGTCTTCTTCTTTCCTCCTGCATCCTCTTCAATCTCCCCATGACTATCGGTCCTTTCACTATCTCCCTCAATGATGCTACTCTTCCCCTGATCCCTATGTCCAGCCTTGGACTTTAGCTAGAGTGGCTGTCCCACCTAGGCAGGCTTCTTAATTTGATCAGACTTTTAACATTATTCACGGTCAGCATTTAAGAACAACAAAGAGTACACATAACAAAGATTACTTTTCAGCTTGTTGACTTGGTCAGTCTTCACACTTTACACTAAGTTTTAGTGCAAAGGTACAGTTTGTTTAAAGAAGGAGCCAGTTTGTGCTCACTGAAGCTTCGAGGAAAAAGTCTACCCTGATGGGCTCCTACACATAGCTGGGTTTGTAAACACAAGCATTTCCTGTTTATGCCCAACAAGAGTGCACCTAATTCCAGTGGGTTGTGTATTAATAAGTACATACAGCATCCTAATATGACTTTCCTGAAAGATTGCAAGAATTTAAGAATTACAACTCTAATCTGCTATTAGGAAACTGATTTTTTTTTTTTTTGTTTCGCACCCTACCTAACTAAATTCTGCCACTCATCCTTCTAAAAGGGTGATTCGGCCCCTTAGAGCAGTTTCACATTTCACAGATGCTGACAGATCAGCTGAGTTTTCCAGTACTTTGTTAATGTGGGATTAACTGAACCATAAATTCATGAAATAAAAACAATCTGGCCTTTTGATATGAATGTCAAGATTCATTGAAATTTCAATAAAAGCAATTAGAGGGGAGACCAACTTGGTGAAATCATGTCTTCTATGTTAGTATTCCTCTCCCTAATTAAAGTATCATGAAATAGTCCTCAACCATTTTAAACATCTATGCAATTAGATATGTTGACTGCTTTGATTCTAAAAGTAAAATGTAATCTGAGAACTTGCATTTCCCGTGTACCCACACAATAAAATTTAATTACTTACATTAATACAAGATCATGATCAGGTTTGGAAAAGGGAATAAAAGACAACTTTAAATTGGTTTATAAGGTCAAAAGGATGCTACGGCATTCAACTGGCGTAAATAGAATCAGCACACGGTGGACTGAGAAAAGGGATAATATTGAAATGTATTCGTAATGAAAAGGTAACATTTTCATATGGTACATTTAGAAATTAATCACAGTGAGAGGACGACCAATTTCATGTTTACTATCCAGTAACTGAATTTTCAAATTCATAAAAAAAAGAAATAGGAGATTGTGGATTTTGGTCGATGTATGAAAAAAGGTCATAAGTATAATCATGATCTGAAAAAGAGGGAGCAGTCTAAGGTAACAAAGTTGATAATTTTGGTCAGATGGACACATTTAAACAAAATCTCTCAATGTGTAAAAAATAAGAATAAAAACAAAGATTCTTTACATGAGAATTATGATATATGAAATATCATTGAATGATAGCAACACCATGAAAATGAAAGAATAAGACAATTATAAGTAAGAAGCCAGATATTCTTCAGATCATAAGATTTTAAAAAGTATTTTGTCCAAATTAGAAATAGCTCCATTGTACCACTTTATCTTTGGTTAAGAACTAAACTAACAAGAAGTTAGAAATTTACTGTTCGTGGGATTTTCTCACCTGTTCTACTTTTCATTTTAGATGTTATTACATCAGATTTTAATGTATCTATTTCCCAGGCAAGCAGCTGTTTCCCATGGCTGACAGGTATAGCAACCAATTGTGCATTACCTCTATGGGTTACATCCGGAGGATCAACGTCAATGTCAACATAACTTGAATCATGTGCTGGACAATCAATTGAAGAAGTTCCATCTTGTACTGGAGTTGGGTCACTGGAACTACATGGTGTACTGGCAATAATAGTGGCCTTATTTAGTAAACCATAATCTGAGCAGACATTGTAAAACACTTCCCGCGTCCGGACCACAGGAAACATCCACGGGCCATGTCCTGTTGCACTAGAACTTAGACTGAAAGATGGAGTACCATAGCAGGAGAACAGATTTGAATTAGAAGTTCCTGGTGAATCACCAGCAGCAAGCTCATCAATGACATTGATACTTTTTAAGTTTCCAGTAGGCTTTGGTAACTGATTTTCTACAGAGTTGGGCATTGAACGTTGCTTTTAGGTATCTTGTCTTTGGTAGATTGAAGTGGCCTTCCTCAAATAATTGCAATTCACTCAATACTTGTTTTAACAATTCATGCATTTCAAGTTATTCATGCTTCCAACAGCAATTGAATCTAAAAGAAAATAGTATGGATAAGAAATAATTTAGAATACAATAAAAGAACAAAATACATATATCTTAATATATATCCATAGTACAAATACAATAGAAACATTGTAAAAATGCATTCATTAAAAAAATGTACATATCATTCTAATGTCCGATGACTATTAGCTTCGCTGCATCCTGTTCAAATCAACAGAAAGTGACAGCATTATTGACTGACTTTGGGCAATTTTTGCCTGAATTAACCAAACTAGTAAATTTTACAATGCAACCATTCTTTAGAGATGGAACAATTATTTATTCCCATTTAAATGTACTGGAAAGTTTGGAAGTTAATCATTTTTCACAAGGTCAGACATTTGTTTGAAAATTATGTCTGGGTAACATTAAAAAATACAGTGTTAGCCAGGATGATCAACATGTGACATCTCCAGAACAATGGCCGTACTAAATTTTCTTGTAAAAGCAAAGTACCTTCCAGTTTGCAATATAGAGCCTTTTTTTCTAAAATGCTGCAGATGTTTGAAATCTGAAGTAAAAACAGAAAATCTGGAAATACTCAGGTGGTCAGGCAACATCCGTACAGAGAAATATGGATTCAATATTTCAGGCTGTAAACTTTCATGAAAAGCTTTCATGGTCCATGGCTTTAAGTGATATCAATGATTAGATTCTGAAAGCAATATTTTCATCTTTTTTCAGTCTGAAAGCAGCAGTTAGTTTTAAAATGACATTGTCCATTTTAGTTTTGAATCCGCCACTTAATCTTAGAAACCCTCTAGTCAGGTTTCTACCATTGCTGTAGTACCGAAACGACCTGATCAAAGTAATCAATATCATCCTTTATTACTGTATTCAGGGGAAATTGTTCCTTCCTGCCCTGTTTGCAGTCTTCAGCAGTTGACCTCCAACATTTCTCCTCTGCTTCCTCACTTAGTTACATTCCTTTATAGTCATGGCCAGAAAATCACTCGACGACTTATCCCACTCCAGTACTGTTACCACTGAAAGTTCTCCAAGAATCTATTGTTGGATCACTCATTTCTCATCAACATGCTGACCTTTCATCAAGACGTGTATGCTGATGACACTTGGCTCCAACTTACCATCACCTCCCTCAACCACTTCACTGGCTCTCCACCCAATCAGTGTCTCTGATTTATTACATTATTTATTGGACATCAAGTTCTGGATGAACAGAGATTTTCTTTAGACCAAAGCCATTGTCTTCAATCCCAGTACAAAACCTAGACAACAACTCCATTCATCTCCTTGGCAGTTATTAGGAGGTTGAACCAGATTGTTGACATATGCCATCCTATTTGAGACTGAGAGATGGTAGGAACTGCAGATGCTGGAGAATCCGAGACAACAAGGTGCAGGGGTGGATGAACACAGCAGGCCAAGCAGCATCATAGGAGCAGAGAGGCTGACGTTTCGGGCCTAGACCCTTCATCAGAAAAGGGTCTGATGAAG